CAGCAAAGTTGGCAAACATTACAGAAGCTTAATACCTTTTTGGATGTAAAAAGGTTAATTTCCAGAATATTTTTGATTCACTGGGCCAACATGCAATAAGTGAATCTCTGCGCATAGGTATCCAAGTTAACCTGGATATATATGCACAGATAGGTTACCTGTCAAGTGAATCTCTGATTCCGTCTGATGAAATCTAGGAAATGGCTGTCACATACCGAGTCAATTAATTTATGGACACGAAAGATAGTCAATATCTGTTACAAATTATGGCCCAAAACTGAAAAAAAAAAAAAAAGATAGAGATACTTGTATGTCACTGTTCTTATTTAAACAATTATTACCATTGACTTTCTATCTTTTTTTTTTTCACTTATTCTTGCACAGAATAGTACTTAGAGATACTTGTATGTCACTGTTCTTATTTAAACAATTATTGCAAGAATAAGTGACGGAGTAAAGAGTTGTTCAGCCCTTAGTTCCCAATCAATCACATTTTACCACCATTAAGTCTTCTTGTACATTATCCTTGTTTGAATAAAAAACAGTTTCAGTAATAGGTTCCTTCGGTTAACATACAAAGAATGACCATCTAAATTATAACTTGTTCTGTCTCTGCAACTCTGAAATATTTGCTTAACCACAAATCTGTCTCTGCAACTAACTTGTTCTACCAAAAGTCTGCTACTCATTATTGACTAAGTTAAAAAAGGGATAAAAAACAGAGGGAGGGAGCGACAGAGAGTTAAGTGTCTTCTGTTATCTAAACAAGGCCATGTCTTCTAAATTTTACCCAAAGATCTAAAGTGGTGAAGACAAATATTGCACTTGCAAGTTCTCTTCTTTGCTTCAGTGACTGTCTTAATTAAATTTGATAGATCCTCAGTAAAATCTCCACAATTATGTTTGACAGGTTGAATGCTGCAGAAATTTCTTCTCTATGAAACTCCATCAATAACTATATGTTTAATTCAGTTAAGCTTTATTGCATACACTCATATTACTCCCCTAAGAAGGTTAACACTTTAAATTGTTATTCTACTTACAGCTTTGAGTTCTGTAGGCTATCAGATAATGTTGTAGTACATCTAACCAATATCATGGTAGGTAACAGCTAATTGCTAATGCATATATAATTCTAGACTTGGTATGAAATACTAATCTTATCTTGAGACTAACCTATAGGTAGAATCTGACAAGCAGACATTGATGACCAAATAAGTAGGTCGTGTGACCCACAATTTCATAATCATACAACAAAAGGTGATACTAACCATACTGATCAAATGGCGGTAAAACTTGAACATTTTACACCAATGCACCATCAAAAAGATGGTATCAAGAACACTATATTAACAGTAATGATTTACTGCATATTGGTTGTATTGCAATTTCATAGTTATTCACTAAATAACCTTCCTCAGATACTTGTCAACATGGTTCATCATGGATTTGACATCAACACTTCCATTTGAGGGTCTTGGCTACTTGATCACTGGAAGAGTCAAGGCAGGAGTCTCTTACAGCTTGTTGGGCACATTAAGACTCTGGCGTCTCAGGAAGGTCAAACGATTCTTCACAAGGTAGCAACTAAACTGAATCATGGAGAAAAATATATGGAAGTCTGAAAGTTTTTAATTTTCTTCATGGGCTAGTGCAGGCTAGAAAAAGATATCAGGTTCAGCTATTTCTGCATTAGATGCGTTAGACTCCTATTTGTAAGTAGATCTGACTCCAATTTCTTCTGCTAATGATCTATTGCATCCCATCAAAGACTTAAAATAGTGATATTAGATGATGCAATATTAATCTGCTAAAATATAACTGTAGCAAACCAGGCTAATCAAATGGGTCTGGCATGCAAGTTAAACGATAAGCAATTAAATGCTTGATTGGAAATGTAAAAGAAACTTCCAACATGGTTGATGCAGGTTACCTTTTTCTTAGTCCACTGTGCTGGATGCCTCTACTACTTGCTGGCTGATCGGTATCCACATCAAGGGAAGACTTGGATTGGTGCTGCAGTGCCAAACTTCAGGGAAGCTAACTTGTGGATGCGTTACATAGCCTCCATCTATTGGTCTATATCCACAATGACAACAGTTGGTTATGGCGATCTTCATGCTGTGAACACAAGAGAAATGATCTTTAATATTTTCTATATGCTCTGTAACCTAGGCCTCACTGCATACTTGATTGGAAATATGACCAATCTGGTTGTTGAAGGAACACGACGCACAATGGAATTCGTAAGGATTCACCAATCCTTTTTTTTCTTTTGTATAGTTGCATCAGTCTTTTCATACATAAACTCCTGATTGATGCAAATTATAAGATCATAAAACACGTATTGCATCCGTAATAGCTTTACAACTTTAAACTCATTTGTGTCTGGAATTTATTGCAGAGGAATAGCATACAAGTTGCATCTAACTTTGTATGCAGAAACCACTTACCACCACATCTGAAAGAACAGATATTGGCTTATATGTGTCTTAGATTTAAAGCAGAGACCTTAAACCAACAACATCTGATGGACCAATTACCAAAAGCACTATGCAAAAGCATCTGTCAGCATCTCTTCCTGCCGACTGTCAAGGAGGCTTACCTCTTTAAAGGTGTCTCGAGGGAAACACTCTTACTGTTGGTAAACTTAGCAATCTCTGGTTCAAATTCAACTCTATGTCCACCAGCACCAGAGAAAACGCACTACGTGAATATTTGACTCACATTCTTTGTGATTTCTGGATCAGGTAACTAAGATGAAAGTCGAGTACATTCCACCCAGAGAGGATGTCATCATGCAAAATGAAGCCCCAGAAGATGTATACATTGTTGTATCAGGTGAAGTTGAAATCATATATTCTGATAATGAGATGGAACAAGTTGTAGGCAAGTTTAGCACAGGAGATATATTTGGAGAATTTACTGCACTCAGCGAAAGGCCTCAAAGCTTTATATTCCGCACCAGAACATTGTCTCAGCTGTTAAAGTTGAAGCAGAGCACCCTGAAAGAAGTTCTGCATGCAAAACAAAAGGATGGTATAATTATCATGAAGAACTTTCTTAAGGTAATAGTTTAAGTGTTTTCACAGTTACAAGTTGTAGAATGAGTACATATTAGAAATCTTTCAATAATTACAAATCGGTAGAAAATAACAAGAACATTTCATAATTTAAAGCATCAAACAGAATTCAAGGACATCAGCATCGATAATCTGCTAGGGGAGAATGGAGAATTTGAAGAAACTAACAAACCGTGCAATCTACTCACAGTAGCTGCTACAGGAAATAGTTGCTTCCTTGACAAACTCCTCAAAGCAGGAATGGATCCTGATATTGGTGACTCCAAAGGAAGAACTCCATTGGTAAAATTTCCTTCTCTCTATAAATATTGCTGCATTTGCATATCAACAGTTTGTTTGGTTCTTTTCTGTATTTCACATCAAACGGATGTTGGTGCTAATGAGAAACATATGCAGTCCCTGGAAAAGAAAAGATCAAAACATAATCTGCAGAAGAGAATGCTACAACTTATGAATTGGTGAAGACATCAATTGACCATTGTCCTAGGGATCTAAAATTTGTTTGGCTACCAAGATGTGGAAACAACTTCATCTTTAACCTGAAAACTGCTATGATAAACTAACACAAGAAAAGGGTTTCTTAAGTGCAACTCTTATATCATGAATCATGACGGGCATGATTGTATATATGCATTTATACTTTTAGAAGAAATGCAATGCATTGTTTCATAACGATTGTTACTTTATTGTGCATTTAGCATATAGCAGCATCAAAAGGATACGAGGATTGTGTTTTGGTTCTAATCAACCATGCCTGCAACATCAATATACAAGGTATGCAGCTTAGGCTTCAGAATATTTCACATATCTTCTATCATTCATACAAAATTGAGGAGATATACTGATTTTAGTTCAAAAATGTCAGACATGGATGGAAATACTCCATTATGGGATGCTATCACAGGAAAACACCATAACATTTTCAATATCTTGCACCGGTGTGCATGTGTTTCCAATCCCTATACCAGTGCCGATCTTCTATGTCTTGCGTCTAAAAGAAATGACCTTTCGACTATGAGAGAGCTGTTAAACCATGGTTTAAACATAGATTCCGAGAACCATGAAGGACTGACAGCATTGCAGATAGCAAGTGCTGAAAATCATGAAGAAATGGTTACATTCCTGGTCATGAATGGGGCGAGCATAGTGAAATCAAATCCCAATGGGAGCATAGAAAGGTGGATGAAAAAAGAAATATTAGAAGAAATGATCCAGCAAAGAGATGTTGGATATCCAACTATGGCATTAGAACCTTATGGAGCGTTTAAGAAAACAGAAGTACTTAGAGAGCAAGATAATTCCCTGAAATTGGAAGCAAATGAACATCGACCAAGGATTAGTGTATTCAACGGCCATCCACTGCTCAGAAACAGCCATTCAGAAACTGGAAAGCTAATAAGTTTGCCAAGCACCATGGAAGAGCTCAGAACAATTATTGGTATGCACAAATCTGACTTGTCAATTATATGTAAGCAGAAATCACCCACGTAGTTCAAACATCCTTACAAGAAAAACCACAGGATTTAGATCAATATATTTTAGCAGCTAAAATACCTGCTTATTCAAAACAGATTTCTTGTTTCTTATTTATTTATCATTTTTCATCATTGACAGGCAAGAAGTTTGAAGTCGATGCAAGATACAAAATATTGACAAATGAAGATGCTGCTGAGGTAGACTCCATTGATGTTCTGAGAGATAATGATAAACTTTTTATCGTTGGGGAGGATGAACTTCTTAAGCTTGATATCAAATGTTAAAAGATATGATTATGGTTTGTAGTTTGTACCAAAATTTGTGCTAAGGTATTTAGGAGTCCAGGAGTGATTCTAGAGATCTTGTATGAGCAATAGTGTACATTTCCCAAGTAGGCGGCATTGTTGACAATATTTCTATGGTTGTCTGTATAAGATAAAAGTGTGATATCCTTCAGATTACATTTATGGGCTTTGAGCATCAGCAACACATTGAATTGTCAATATATTGGTAGCTGAGTGAATTATCAAGTAGTCAGCCATACATTTGAATAATGTTCTAGCAAGATATTAACCTCTTGATTGCCTCATATTTTTCAGCTTCATATGTGATTTCTCTGAATACTTCATATGTGATTATTAATGTAAAGGTAATTACCACAAACTCTCCATAGTCTGTTTTATTCTCTGATTTCTGAACCCATGCACCATCAGATGTTTCTGATTACTCTGTTAAGTTCAGTTCTTAAATTTTTTTGTCACTGTCATTTCATATAAAAGCCTAAGCCAGTTGATGAGACAAGATGATATATATATATATACATATTGCAGTTCTATATATTTTGTTTGGCATTGCAGTTCTATCTAAAAACTTAAATCAGAGATGAGGCATTGCTAAAAAGAAAGAAAAGAGACTGCCAGGAAACAAGGGCAGAGACAATGTACTCCAGAAATTGGGGGGAAATGCCTGATGATTTGCTCAGAGAAAACCCAATGAATCTTCCCTAAATTCCTGAGGACTAGAGAATAAATTCACTAACTTTGATCGATTCTTGCACCGAAGAACCCATAATTGCAACATGTTTTTCGTAAATTATGGAACATCCGGATAAAAAGACGACCTTGAAGCGGGACTGGGCTCATGGAATCGGAGAAGAGGCGGCGGCCCGTTTCGTGGTTTCGGGCGTCTTCCGAGGGCCAGAGATGCCTCGCACCAGTGGTCTTCCGCCCCAGGAATCAAGCCATCAGTCTATCGGCATAAAGATCTAGGGTTTCAAGGCTTTCGACCCGCCGAAGAGGAAAGACATGGCGAGAAGGGGCAAACAAAGAACACGGAAGCATACCTCTACACGCTACCGCCACCGACCTCCGCCTTGCTGCCGGCAGCCGAACGGCCACTCACCGTCGCGTCGGCCGCCCGCCCGCCCGCTGCTGGAGATATACCGTCGCCGAATCGAAGCGGATCCTCTCCAGGAGCCACGAGTCTCGATCCACAGACTCCCCGCATCGGAACCCTCCGTTGACGTGGGACCCACATTTAAGGTCGAACTCCAGCATCAGATGGAGACCAGCGTGAAACGTAAGCTGGATGGGATCCAAATCCCCGTTTCTAGCTTTGAATGTAAATACATAACAAATTAAATATATTATCATCTCTCTTTCTTTTATTAAACTAATTTCACATATTAGCAATATACAATTCTTTGCATCTCAAGTAAACAAGAAACGAACTGTTTATTTCTACTTAAATCATATCATAAGCTAGTATTTAGCCCTCATCAATATCTAATAACTACCCTTACCACTTCATAAATAATTACATTTATCAAAATAAAATCTCTCTATGCTACAATGTGATTCAACATTTAAGTCTCTTCTTGAATTCTACATGTCATTGCTAACAATGCCAATCTATCATCTTCCTTCTATATATATATATATATATATATATATATATATATATATATATATATATATATATATATATATATATATATATATATATATATATATATATATATATATATCAAAGCTGATTTGTCTTACAATACCACCACCTAATTGTGTGGTTATGTTTAGAGATGATCATCTTTTTGATGCACTGGAATTAAGGCTCCATATATTCTAGTGATCTCATGCAGATTAGTATACTTGTCTAAATTTACCAGGTTTGTTCCTGTGCAGTAATTAAA